AGAATTACAAATATGGGTTTATTAGCTGTTGGATATATGCTTACACGAAGTGGCATCACCGAATTGAAACTTTCCTCATCAACATTTATGTTTCGTGCTCGTCTTGATTTAAATATTATTTTTGTTGATTCAAGGTTACTTTGTTGAATTTTCTAAATTAAAAAAACCTCTTCAAAATTTTATGCACCTTTTGCAATCAAAAGTTTCTTTAAGTGCAATTTTAAAACTTACTATTATTCCAAATTTAGCTTTTATTTTTGTTCTTTTTCGAAGAGTAACAGCACTTACTGGTTTTGGTGCCTCATCTCTCCTTGATACATCCTTATATCAAATGGTACTTCTGGAAGATGCACATACCATCGAAAAAGCACATAAAATTTGTATGCATTAAATATAAATTCTTGTTATTCATAATTAATTTTATATTTACGACTATATTTTCTTCTCGAATATTATGCATATTGAAATTACTGCTCAAATTATTTAGATAATTTGTATCATTATATCATTTGATAAGTGCTACTTTAATCATTAATTAATTAAGAACTGATACTTAATAAAATCATCTCACCTAGTATTCTTTAGTTAGTCGTAAACTTAGCATTATTATGCAAAAAGAAAAAAAAAACAGATAAATAATTTCTTGCAAATGGAAGGTAATTGAAAATAAATAATGAACAATGACATTTGCTAATCATAAATGACTATTTAAAAAATACTTGCTTAAATTTATTGAATTTTCAGTACTACATAAGAATCAATCAACAACAGGCTACTATCGATTACTGCATCGTATTCGTGGATATGTTTGGGCTCAAAGTCAATTTTGCATAGTACCAATGTTACGCGCAACTATTACACATTGTATTGTAGCTGTAACTGAAATTTTTAGGTAATAATATCATTGCTTTTGTTTTAATAAAAAAAAAAAAAAAAAATTTCTAACTTCAATATTTGTTGTATTTTAATGATCTAAATGAGTACCGAATGAAATTTGTAGTAAGAGAAAAATTTAATGAAAAGATAAGTAATCACTTCTGTTTTGTATAATATACCGAAATATAACCACATATCATAGCTCTTTATTGTTTATTTGATGATAGATAATTCATATCATACATTTAGAAGATAATTAAATTTTGCATATTATGATCATCTTAGTTATCAACAAGTATTGATTAAAACTTCTTTCAAATTATTAATTGCAGCAAAAGGGAAGGAGATATGACATTAGCAATCATACAGCTTGATGCTGAAGAAGATGTTCCTGGAAGTACACTTGGAGAATATTCAAATCTTTTCTATAAAGGTGCATCAGCTTCAGCCCCTCTTTATTTGGATTACAATATGCATATGCTGTCGGACAAATAAGAAGCTTAAAGAAAATTAAACTGTAGTTGCATAGTAACTGTGGTACAACTTTTTGATTGAAAAATATACAAATTAGTCGGAATGATCAGAAATTGATCAATTTGAAATTATGGACTAATTCAATCAATAAATTTGAAAGATCCAAAAAAAAAAAAAAAATAATAACCGGGATATTCCGGAACACTAATAGTTTGGATTATAATAAAGCAACTGAGAGGAACAAATGGAAATTTTGATAGAGATTAGAGTTATACCGCAGCCAAATGTACAAGAAATAATATGAGGGTAAACAATGATACAGTAGCTATATAGATGATGTACAGAGGTCAATATAGCATGACGGTTACAGTACGAGATAGTATAACAAACATAATATACAGGGTAGATTGGAGGTCAGCTAAATCACTGTGAAATGTACAGGAAAGAACATGGATGAAAAACGCGTTACAATAACGTATTTGATAATGTAGACTTTAAATGAAGGATATTTAGTTGAAGCGTTCCATAATTAAGTGTATTTAGTGCTTTTAGAACCATTAAAGTGAACCAATAAAAACAAAAAACATATGATACAAAACTATAATGAACAGTTTGATTAAAATGAAGTTGAAAATGAAAAAAACAGGGCATTCGACGTTAAAACATTTAAGATTTTTGAGCAGTTAAAATTCCGCAGATATGAATTTGAAAAGGAATTCAAAAATTCATACGGTTTGCTAATTAATGATATGTTATTAAAAAGGGCATATTTTCCGCAGACAATAAATTATGATACAAATGTACATTTTTGGACGATAAATTATGACATAAATGCACATTTTTGGAAGATAAATTATGATATGACACATGTATATAGGGCGATTTTAAGTATACGTAAACGCTTGCAAGATTTTCTGAAATACACAACTATACCCAACCAAACAAACGAAATCCTGGTTGTTAGATTCTGTTATTTTCGATCATTACTTCGCCTTAGAATCATCCAAAGCATCTCCACCATCAATTACTTCATAATCAGATGCTGAAATAGACCCAGAGCTCGTTAATTCCTCCAATTCACGAGTATCCTAAAATTCAGAACGTGTAAACCCTCCTGATGCGTGAACAACCTGAAATTTAAGTGTTTGAATCTTACAATTTGTTTATCCAAAATTCATATATGCATTTTTGAGTTAAACATCGTGAAATTAACAAACAATCTACCAAACTTAAAACTTTTCTCCTTAAGTTTTTTTTTTTTTTTTTCCATTTAGAAAGTTCTAAGGATACTGGAGGATAAAAATATAGTTACAAATATTAACAAATGGAAAAAAACAACGTGCATCGATAGTTTGTTCCTCATCTCTGACTGCGGTATAATATGAAAACGAATCCAATTCCTGTAATACGACTATATTTAATTCAAACATTCTTTCATGTTCTGCTTGTAAATCACAGAAAAAAAAAAAAAAAAAAAAAAAAAAAAAACTGAAATGGCAAGGTAGACCAATCCTTACGAAATACTAACAATTAACTGGCCATCTTTTTAATGTTATATCAACTAGTAATATTAATATCTGCCATCTCAATGAAAATCTTTGTCCAGAAATGATATTATATATCTTCTAGAAAAAATCAACAGTAAAACACACATACCTTAGAAAAGGCAGACCTTCCGATAGCTAAGTTTTCATCGGTGAATGGATTCACAAAGATTTCAAATACCAGCCTTGGTCCTTCAGGAATCGAATTTCTACCATCCTCAATTATTTTATGAAGCCGCCAAGATGCACAGAAATATCCTGTTGAAGCCGAGCATTTCACCCACACGGTGAAATCAACAACCTGGCCACTTTCTGGCAAATTCGTCACAGTTATCTTTGAACGATATATTTCTAGCATATCAGGTATCGTTTCACTAATTATCTGAAGTTAAAATATCAATAAAAAGGTGGTTAAATAACTGGCAAGTAGCCCTGAAATATTTAATTAATAAAGTGAATACAAATCAAACAGATAAGGCTAACCGCTAACAATTTTTTTTTTTTTTTTTTTTTTCAATTTTGAAATTAACAATAAAAAAGGCACTGCGGATCTCAAGAAATCAATTCTAACAATCACTTAACATTTTTATAATAATAATAATTATATATTTGCAACCAGCACTAAAGTACTGCTTACAAATTATGAGAATCAGAAAATTACCGAGACATTTTCCCATCTTCTGCAAGCAAATCGGCGAAGAACCCACCGTTTAGAAAAAATTCCCTCTCCTTCACGAACGGTTTTCACTAGATCAGATGAGCTCTGAAACATTTTTATGAAAATTGTCAATCTAATCAAACAATCAGCTCATTTAATTTTCATTTAATGAAAGAAAAAAAAAAAAAACATAAGTACAGAAAGTAATTAATTGAAATTTGAAAGGCATTCAAGAGAAGTGAAATGGGACCCAACTTTTTTCCACCGCCCATTCTAGATCTACTGCAATCTTTCACGAAATGTTTTCCATATTCCAATAATTATCAGTAGCTGAAACTTACAGGATTTTCCCATTTCGTTAAAGGCAATGTCTTTCTTTCATAAATTGCCTTTACATCCCATACTGGGCTTTCGTCAACTAACTGAAAGACAGTGAAATCATCCTCTTCGGGTGCTATTTTCGACGAGCGTTGACTTTCTAATACTGCTAATGACGATGAACCAACAGTAGCATCATACATATCCGCTGGAAACACTAAATTTTAATGTAAGTGAAAATTTTGAACTTTTGACAATTTGTATTAGATAAGAATTCAGCTATTTGTGGGAAGAATGGATATCTAATATAATGCAGCGTTTTTTACTGATTACGTATTTTTATATCAAATAGTATCAAGCATAACTCCGCAAAGAAAATGTACGAGTCATACTCAACAAATCTAACATATTGCAAGCTCCAGCTAGTCGTTTTAATTACAAATGAAAATAAACAAATTACAACCATACTTTGAGTGGATTTCTGTTCGCTGCAGCATGCTGCATATGTTTTTTGCTCTTTAAATTTAGCCATGAACTGTTTCAGTTTATTGATTACTGGATGACAAGCAATTTGTTTATTCACCTCTTGCTTGATTTCTCTTATAATCTATAACATATAGATCAAAAAATGAAACGGAAAAGCTCTAGCTCCCAACAATTTCAAAGCAATCTCCACGGAAGTATCAATATTATCATTACATTTCAGGCAAAAGCGTAACTGCATGCTGGAAAATATGGATTGATCAATACATCGTTCTATTCACTAGAAAGACTAGTCTTGCCTAAAATCGTAGTTTATTAAATTTCACACTGAAGAAATTTCACAGTTCATGATTCCATGTTCCTTTAAACTGATGTCATTCCCGTAATGTTCCAAGTTTGCAAACGCATGCTTAATAAAACATAAAAAAATATTAAGCAAATTTACCTGATCCATTAAAACAGCTCCCATGCCGTCTCTTGCACAAGTATTAAAAGAAGAAGAACTTGCTTGTTCCTGTAAAAATCATCGCTCAGTCTTACAATATTAAAAATGAGAAATTAAATTGGATTAACATTCTCGGATAATCACATTCAAATAATAATTCTAGTCTTCCGAGCAATTCATTTCATGAATACAATCAGAACAATTAACATAATGTAAAAGAAAAAAAAAAAAAAAAAAAACTAACAGCCGTAAACACGTTAGTGTCTTGCTTTTTTGGTAGTCCAAAATTGTAAAAACCATCTATATGGACTACGAATAACTTAAGTGGTGTCTGCATTACATCATCGAAGGCAGTCTGAAACCAATTAAAGATAAAAAATTTGTAATATTAAACCAAATTAGATGGTTAAAATGCCAAACCTAATAGTTAATTGCTTATTCTAGAAAACCCAAAGAAATCATAAAAGTAGCATCATCATATATTAATCTACTAACGGCAAGAAGTTACGACTTATATAAATAGCATTTTCCTGCAATTCCAATCTCGTCCTCATAATATAACAAAGCCTTTTATAAAGTACCTCAAAAGCTTCTCTTGTTTCCAAAAGAATCATATCTCCTTCAGAATCACGATATTTCGGTGGACTATCCATTATGAAATTGTAGCTTATGAATTCCATAATCGCACTTACTACGCATTCTCGACTGTTTCGCAGGAAAGGTACCAAAATTGGGTCGGGTGGTTGTGTTATACTCTGTTCGTTCCGGTATTTCTCTATAACCAAGTGCATATCTTCCTAGTCTATGAGTTTCTGAAAATCAAATCAGTGAAAACTTTTGAATCTAAAATAATGCGGAATTAAGACATTAACGCGTCCGTGACATAAGTGACAGATTATTGAAATTATCCTACTGAAGACAAAATTAATAGGTCTGACTACTATAAAACTTATAACAATTCGTCAAATAAAAATCTCAATATATAAATTATAAATACATGCGTTTTTTAGATGGAAAATATAACAACAATCATTACAATCTCTGTACAAAGTAGTATAAAGCAAAAAAAAAAAAAAAAAAAAAAAAAAAAAAGAACATTTGTAATAACGGCAGTAATAAAGGAGATGTTAGTCGCAATACGACCACTTTTACGTTAAGAATAACATTTAAATAACACAGAAGGAAAATCGAAAAAAGCAAAGCGATCGATCCTTGGATTCGTTTTTCACATAAGCAATGGATAATATCATTAAAGACAGCACATAGATCTCTCTCTTTCTCAAAAAAAAAAGAACATTTCGGATAAAAGAGTTATTTTAGTAATACATGATTAGTGAATTTGCTTTCTGGTCAATTAATGAGATGGATTACATGCGTTCACAACTGTTTAATATAACATCTATTCTATTCCAATATTATTATCCTGCCAATGTTAAGATTACATGAATAAAGGGTTTCTATAATATTAAAAAAGTAATAATATTCATTTTCTATATTACGTGAATTACTTCTTCCTATATAGCTAAATCTTCCTGACAATAAACCTTTCTAATAACGTAAAAAATAATTCTAGCATTATCTTCCCGATAAATGCATTGAGAAATATGGCACACTCTAACCTGCAAATATTTTGCCCTTTCTTTCTTGAGAAAAAAAAAAAAAAAAAAAGAAAACAGACAGATAATGAAGTTAACCCCATCCACAAAAAATAAATAGAAACCTGAAAAAAAAAAAAAAAGTAGTCTGTTTCTGAAAAGCAACAAAAATTATATCAAACAGAAGCATAAAACAATAAAAGCACATAATTTATTATATCTACCTAGTATATTCATTTTGCAAATTCTGCATTAAAATTGAAGTCAATATAACAGTTTACTGTTCAATAAATACATAATCTATAAGCATACTCTATAAGCATCTACTGCTTCGAAATACTAGAGTAATAATGGAGTTCCAACAGATACAAATGATAAGTATGCAGTATTTCAAATTTATTTTAATAACACGACAAAAAAAAGGATGAAAAAAGATGAAGATAGAAAAACTGCCCAGCAAGCACTTTGAAATCACCGTGGGATCTGATCAGCAAATTTGCTAGTGTTCGAAAATTATTAATTGTATTCTCAACAAAGAAAAGGAACAATTTAAAGATAACATAAAAACTATAACAACCGCACTCTATAAATTACAGCTACCAACGACGGATAAAGGGAAAAGTTTTAATTTAAGGTATTGAGGCTGATAAGAACAAAAACACATTAAAAGACATTGAATAACCTATTTACACGTAAAGCAAAACAGTTAAAACTTTTTAAAATAATGGGAACCATATAGTGATGGGTAATTCCAAACATAACAAAATTCGTACGAGGGGTTTTTTGTATTAATTAACATATCTGAATTTTCAACTTACTTTTCAGTCTGATAAGTTAGTAGATCTTTCAATCTTTTCCACATTCCAGTTATGTATTATTACTATTCTACTCTAATAAAAAGAGAAAATTATAACAAGAATAATGCTGTCAAAATTCGACCAGGCGAGAAAATATAAAAAATCATACAAAGCATAGAGAAAATGAAGTATATAATATGCTAATTAAAAAAAAAAAGAACACTGTGGTAATAAATTAATTAAACGTAAACAACCGAGAGGAGATGTCAACACAGAGCCAGTCAATTGCTTCAAGAAGATTTTCGCCAGTAAATGCACTACATCCATATATATTCCAGTGATGTGATTTTAAATTGCGCAAACCCAGTAACTATAACTTTAAATATACTAAACTAACAAGATATATTGTCACACAAAATAAAACCAATGCTAAGCTATAGTTTAGTTAAACTAACGAAACTAACGAAAATCAAATTAGTCAATCTTTAAACATATTATGAGAATAATGCTTTTCACTGTAATTATTTGATTAGTGAACTCGTAAAATTATTACTTTACTTGTTCTTATATGTTAATAACAAAACATTATCCTCAAAAACAGATAAACCAGTTCGTAAGAACAAAAATAAAAGATCTGTAACCTCTTCTATTTCTTCCGAACTTGCACTGGATGATAAATCCTGTTTGTTGGCAAGAACTAAAAGCGATGCTCCGGCCAATCTTTCTTCCACCTTAAAATCAAAATTTTTAAAAAAGAAAGAATTTTTTGCCTCTGCCCGTTTATATGATATGCATAACAAATGCTGAAATAGAATCAAAATTTAGAGCACGTTCAGTGTGCGAAAAAATTCAAAACTATTATATCATTGCTACTGAAATCCTTGTGAGGACCTTACAATATTTTATTCAAAAAATAATATGGATGATATAAAACCTTACCAACAATGAACCAAGTTCACGCTTACAATCATCCATTCTATCAATATCGGCTGAATCAACAACCCATATAACACCATCTGTTTGTTCGAAATAATTTCGCCAATATGACCGTAAACTTTTTTGTCCACCGACATCCCACATGTTCAACTTCATATCTTTGTATTGCAATGTTTTGATATTGAAACCTATATAGCGCAACTTGCATGACCAAACAATGGAGATGCAAATCCATATCACTGGTCTTGTATTGCGTGAGTAAAAGGAAGTTCGGTAATTGTGCAAAAGTAATCTTATGTTTTAGAAACGAAACAATTAACGATCAATCAACCAGTGATTGATTCTGTATGAATAATTTAACAGCTTGTTGACTTTAATGTTTCTTTTACAAGGTTAATGTTAGGATCACAACATACATTAATTAAATGATCTAACAGCAGTAAGTTACCGAAACTCCTGAAAACTGCGACTTAAAATTTTTGGCTTTTTGAAGAGTTGCAAAAAGTTTGGAAATAAAACTGGAGGCTACATCTTTAAAAACGATTAATTCAACAAAAGTTGACCATAAAAATTATACGTTATCTAAAATATACTAAGCATACCGAAAGTTGGTGCAATTTCGTTAACTTCTTCACCATTCAGTTTTTTCACCACAGTTGTTTTTCCACTGTTATCAAGACCAAGGACCAATATTCGCAATTCCTTCTCCTTCAAACGCTGTTTCTTCAAAATTGTAAGTAAACCCATCTCAAGCAATCGAATTTCACTATTGTATCGATCTCCTAAAAAATATAATTTACAAATTTACTGCTATTATTTCCACTGTTATTGAAAATCATTGCAATAATCATAAAAAACACATCCAGCGGGTAAACTAAATTATCTATGTTCTTTCTTTTCTTTCTGCATCTTTTTGTTTTCCAATTTCAGCTTATAGAATCTGCAAAGAACAATAAATTTCTGACTTCAAAAAAAAAAAAAAAAAAAAAAAAAGAGATTTTATTCCCTTCTATATAATTATAATTCCTCAGTAAATGTTTGTACTGGTAGAAACTTTCACCCAATCATACAAGAAAACGAAGGTCATTGTATTTTTTATTCAAATCATCACCACAATTAATATAACAAAATAATAATCATAGAATTCCAAATTTCAGTCAACTTCAAACAGCACAACCGTCGAAGAGTTCTGTTAATTGTTTGGTCTAAAATGAAAAATAATTATTCAGCGAATGTGATTTTACCGGAAATTTGAAAATCACTTTCACTTTCGTAACAGTGAGATTGTTGACAAAATCATTACCGTAGTACAAAAAGACTTCACGGCGGCAGTATGATGCAAAAAGAAAAATGCTTTTCGATGGCTTAACATAAAATTAATTCACAGCTTAACATTTCAAATTGCATTGTCCTTTATCAATAACAGTCAGTAACCGGTTGGCAACTGAACTAATATGACAGATGAAATGACAAATTTAATATTATACGAATAATAAAATCAAACAAACCTTGTCCACTCAACTTTCAGCACGAGGTGATCCAACTTATACCCATTCAATTTCTGTATTGCAGCTTCTGTTTGACTGCGATGTTCAAATGTGACAAAAGCGAAACCTTTCGGTTTATTCGTATGTTTATCCTTCGCAATAAAGACTCGATTTACGGTACCCACAGTACCGAATAAAGCACGAAGTTCCTAGAATTATTGTTTGATCATTTTTTAAAATTCATTATCTTTGTTCAAATCCCGATATGCATTTTAAAATTAAAGTAATAACCGAAAACTTCCAGGTATATATAACATTTAAAAAATCCCCCAGATCAGCAGTAATGGCATTTCACAACTAAATATGAACACTAAAATAAAGTTCCATAAAGGGAATTAATGTAACTCAACTTTCCACAAATAAACTAACCATTTCATCACATTCTTCTGGTAGATTTGTAACTCTGCATGTATTTTCCTCGGACCTTCTTTCTGCACCTCCTGTAACCGCTGGACGATCTCCACGCATCCCCGGTGCTACATATTTACCTGATCCTGGCACTGTTGGACCAAGTTTTGTATCTTTTTCTTTACTTTCCAAATCCTCCTCATCATCTTTCGCATACATTGACTTGTATGGACAACTTACAGACCAATGCTCATCTGACTAAAACCGATTTCCAAATATTGGTTTGTAAACACTCTACGTAATCAAAGTGATCAAACGCTCATAATATTATTGAAATATGACCAAGTGTGCAATTAATTTCATTAAATTAAGTGTTTTAAGTTTTTTAAGTATACAATCTTCTTAAAGATCAAAAAAGAAAGTGGCTTTAATCCTTTGATATATGGTAACAACTAAATTTTACAAAAAAGAAATTCACCAAATTTAAGGAACTAACTTTGCAGTAACGACAATGAGTGAATGATCCTCCCGTTGTTGTTGCAACTTTAGTTCCTTCATCACCGATATCGAGTTGTTGCTAAAATGCAGTTCCTGAATTTCTAACTATTTAAAATCTACAAAATAAAGAAAGAGACATATCAGAGTAAACTTACTTCACCGGCACGATTTCTAATGAACTGCATAAGAACTTCTTCAGCCACATAAGTTGTGGACACATGCGGTCCAGGACCATCGTTCTTACACTGCCCGAATTTCTTCCATTTCTTCCGTTCTGCTATCGGTCTTGACACCTTTTTCGTCACAACTTTGAAAGTTGTCACAACCTGTCATATGTACATATAGTGGAAAACCAGAAATCTCCTTTACCTCACTTTTAACTTAACTCTTCTAGCATTTTCTCACAATGATAATTCGTTTTATGATCACTGACATTAAAACCATAATTTCATCGATTTTGCTAACCTTATATTTGCCAGTATCATCCGAAATAATATCGGTAACAATTTTAATACCATCTTTTGTTGATTCATGAGCCCCGCCCAAAGCTGAAACAGTTAATCAAAATATGCCACAGCAAAAAACTTTAAATATGGAGAACAAGTATTTCCTCCAGTCAAGTCTCATCTTATAAGTTGAGGAACTAATCAAAAATTCCACTATTTGTTCGATACAACTAGACTGTCAAAAAAATATCTTAATTTCATGGCTCTACAGAGTCGACTAACATTGGATTTATAGAATTGCGTGTGTTGCATTTTACATCTGATTTAATAATAGCTGAATGACAAAAAGCGATCAAATAAGAAAGTTATAAAAGGACAAGACTTACTCTCTTGCTCAACTGCTTCAGCCCAACTACCAATAGCAGAAATAGAACTTCTGCAATAAATAGTAATTATACTTATATTGATAACAATAAATTAAAGAAAAAAAAAAAAAAATTAGAACTGCGTAACATCCAAAGCACAAGGAATTTCGTATTCGCAATTAACCCCGAAAATTTCTAGCTACCGTTTCTACTTTTCTGTAAAGTTGATCAGCTGTATCACTACATTATCAACTACACTGTATATCACTGGACTTGAGATCGTCAAATCACAAATATTACATGCACCGTTCAATTAATGGTTGAAAAGATTATACAACTTACAGATTAGGAAGTGGTGGTGCAGTACTTGCTGTTGTTACAGCCATGTCTTTTAATAATAACCTGAAATAGCTAACAACGTGTGGATATGTTTAAAAATTAGCAAACCTTAACGTAATCTAGGTCATAATAATAATAAGACTTATACACATCAAAGTTCAGCAGTTATATCTACAGCCTAACAATCCACTTAAATAACCAACAATGCATAATCTTGAATAAGAGAAGAATATTTTCACGCCTGCCATTATTTTCTCGTCAATTTTATGTAGTATGAATAGACAGACAATTACTTAATTAAATAATTATAGAGTAATCAAAATGATTGATCATCAGGTGAATGCTATAAATAAATAACAAATGATAATATGGCATCACATTTCAGTCATAAATTATGAGGAATCGATGACAGTCAATCATGTGTACTTGATTTTTTATACAACTATTGTTGTTTAAATACCTCGTATATTTCATCTTACCATGCACCTACCACTCAATCATCACTATCCCCATAAAAGTGTAACCACTCTGCATCTCACCCCAACACGCGACAAAAGCGCCTAAGCAAACAATTGAAATGCGAAATCGGCATAAAACCACCCCCGTCAAAGTAACATAAATTAACCGTGGTAGTTATGCAACAAGTCGTCCTGGTGATTTGTTTGATCAATGAACAAGTGGTAGTAGTAATTTGATCACAAAGGTAAACAAAACGAGAAGTGATAGAGTTTAAGGAATTACAGTTTGTCACTGCTTGTTGCAATGTAACAAATCAAAGAAGAAAAAATTTCAGTGACAAAACTTGCTGTTTATAAATAATGGTAAGATAATTTTGATTTTACTAATTGTTTTAAATGAGTTTTTTTTTTTTATGAATTTAAATGATTTCTTACTAATTCTTCTATTTAGAAGAAAAAAAAAAAGATTGTCATGAAATTGATAATTTTAGTAAGTGTAATTTTATGAAATCTTCGTCGGTACCTTAAAATGATTAATGAAGGTTACTATAATGAAAGTTTTTTCAGAATAAAATAATATAATAATAATAACTATAATAAAAAAATTTTTTAGAAGAGCATTTACCATTTATTATTATTATTATGATTATCATTACTATCATTATCACTATCATTATTATTATTATTTTATTATTATTAATCTTTATATTGTTATTACTATTATCATTATTATTATTATTAATCATTATCATTATTATTATTATAACAAAGTGACTAATTTCAAAATATACTATCACATTTCACCGAATCCTTTTTTTCGCTGTAATATTACTTTTTAGATCTCTTACATCATTTTATGCAAATATTTCAATTAAATTAAATAACTATGTGATAAATATAAGTGAATTGTAGAAATATTGAAATTGTTTTTTTTTTTTTTTTTTTAGAGATAGACGAAACATTTATTTATGACAGAATAAAATAGTAAAAACAACAAATGCATTTGCTGCATTAAAATAAGAAATAACTTTTAACAAATAAAATATTAGCTTTGTGTGATGAAAAAAGAAAAGAAAGAAAGAAAGAAAAGAATGCCAACACAACATTGCTTTGACTATATTTTTAAGATTTGACCTTGAGGTCATTCTCATTTGAATATGTTGCAACAGACAAGAGGAAATAAAGTAGTCCTCTGCATAATTCTCTCTCTCTCTCCTCTCTCTCTCCCTCTCTCTCTCAGGTGACAGAATATTTCGGTATTATTACTATTTGCAATTGAATGATACTTTTATTAGTCATTCATTTTTATGATCACTCTTATATAAAGCACTCATTTCTCTTTGAAGTTCTCTTTGAAGCACTGCACAAATCGATTGGTTTACAATCTGAGTTACATGACCTTAAAGGTCATTTGCATTTAGATATAGTCAATTGTAAATAGCAATAAATGACACTTACTTTACTTCACTTAATTTTAATGATATAGAATTATATTATAATAACTAAAAAAAAATTCAATATTAAATGAAGGAGTAAAAATTCAATATCAAATTCAATATCTAAAAATCAATATGAAATGAAAAAATAGTATTCAATATCCTAGAATTTTTATAATTTTATAAAATGATAAGTAATATCAAAGATCAAAAGTCATTTATATATCAAAAGAGATATAGAATGAATATGGAATTTCAGATGAAATTATCTATAATTGGCGAAAAGTTTTTTTCACTGATTTAATTTTTT